CCGTATTTTTCCCCCTTTCATCCTGGCAGCCAGCATCCAGCAGCCCCTCCCCCAAATCGCACGAGCGTGTGCACGCTCCTTGGTAGCCCCAGTCTCTTTTCACAACACCCCCTTCTCCCAAAACACAGCTAACACTCTTCTCATACTCCCAAATCTCCTTTTCTTGCTCACTTGTCTCCCTGTACATTTTGTTTATCAGACTGTTTCGTATTAAACAATTTCTCCCTAGTACAGACCAGGAAGGAGAGTCGTGGCCCATTTCAAGTACAGCTGTTAGGAATGGGAGCAAACAGGGAACAAACTTCCCATTCTCTCCTAATTCCCACGGCATTGTGTGAAAAACCATAAAGAGCTTGTAAAACAAGATCAGGCCAACTGCAACACGAGGTCATGCAGCACAGATAAAGAACTTCTGCTACCAAGGCATTTAATTATTAAAAATCGTGTCTATCAACTAAACCAGACTACACTGCCTACGTGAGACTGAGCTAGACGAATGAACTGAACGCAAAGCATGATTTTCCCTTAGTCACTCTCGATGACTTGCTTGTCTGTAAGTCATGAGGCAAACTTCCTGCAATGCTCTCTCACTTTTTTTTGCGTTTCTGGATTATATAAACAGCTTTGCCTGATGAGAGACCTTTCAGAAACCTGAATGTTGCATGACTTACAGTACACTAATTTAAAGAAACCAGAACATTAACAGTAGTTCTTACATATCTTTCTTTAGGTCATCAGAAGAGAACTGTATTTCCTAACCCCATGTCATCTAAAGAAAGGAGGGGTTTATTTCCATCAGTAACTATTGCTGAAAATTAGAATCAGAACTAATAATCTGACTTTTGAAATAAATCATTTTTCATTTAGCTACATGAAGTGTATCTACATACAACTTCAGAAAACTACAATTACTAAAGGGATTTAGTTAATTTGTTAAGAATCACCTCTGGTATAAAATATAACAGTGAAATCTGCTCTCAAATGATTTTCCAAATAGTGCAAGTCCTAGCACAATTTATCCTCTGCAGTGGGCCTCTCAGAGCACTCATCAGAATCAATACATAGTAGGTGAATACCTAAATCCATATACCATCCTGACTGGTGGCATACTCCTTTTCCTTACGTCTTAATCCAGGGTTGCCAAACCTATCAACTGCATTATCTTTTGCAACTCTTCCTCACCCTCCCCCCCTTTCAAATCCACTGTCATCTTCTCCGAGGTACCTTCAGACAGTCCCTAGTTACGTAGCTAAATGTTAAGATGTTCCCCAAATGAGTAACTAATCACTAACACTAGTGATTCAATAGTGCCCCAAATGGGTAAATTTTAATCTCAATAGTAGACAGACAACAGGGATTTTGGAATCAGTGTAGAAATCTCTATACACAAATAAATGCAGAAAATGTGCTGGTTTCACAGATGAAAATGAAATCTTTTTCCCTTTTAGCACAAATGAATAGGAATTTTAGGAGATATTTTCTGTTATTGTCAAACACTAGTGAGTTCAATAAGATTTAGGCTAAAGGTAGATTTCAGCCACCTTTAGAACCACCTTCAGAGTCACAGCTTCTGAATACAAGTCTTGGGCCCCATCAGCATACTGTGAAATAGCAACATTTACAAGTAGCTGCACAAAGAGAGAAAATGGACCCACCCTTTGAAAATGCTGCATTTTAGGGAGGAAAAGCAGGGTATATCCTGGCTACAAATACTAGGCGCAAAAGCACTTTTAAGTTTCCAGTCCAAAGGCTACATCCAACTCATCATGGCCCAACTCCATAACAAGACCCAGGATTACACAAGCTATTTATCCTGCCACCCTCATTTTTGTTTCTATGGAAAAGTAGTTCCAAGACACAGGCCACACGAGAGCCATGGCACACTCCAAAGATGCTTACCTGGACAATCAGGGGAACAGATTTATGAGAAACATCATGCAGGAACTCAGTAAGTGAATACGGACATGGTCTACCTTGATGAAACATAAAAATTAAAATGTGAGTCAGAAAAGTCTTTCTTTCGAGCACATCTTTCCTTCAAGTGAATAAACTTATTTCCATAGAACCCTGAGGAATGTATGTGGTATATACTATACAAACAATCAGTGTAAAAAATTCAAAACTAACATTTTAAAGATGATCTAAATAAAAGCGGCCTACTTCACAGCTTGCAAAGGACTCCAGAGGAATTTTTTATCCCCTCTGAAATTTGGGTGCTGTTGCTTAGGAACTAAATGACACATTTAAATTCCAGTTTCAACTGGGCTAGAATAATTTGATTTCCATGTCTCTCTTTTCCATGTCTACCTGTACGACAACTGTGGGTTCTTATTTTGAAGACTGTACACATCTTTGTAGGTACAGTTCATCTTCCTCAACTGCATCTTGAGAATCATATAAAAAGACCTTATTTTCATACTTGCTTTAGAAAGAAGCCAAACATTACCAAAACCTCAACTCTGAATATTACTGGCCTTTCTGCAGTAAAGATCTTACAAGGGCTCTTTGTACAACATGATCTGCTACATCTACCTTTTGAATCAAAGGCAGAAGTGTATGCATGGCAGTTAGCCGCATATGAAACCATTTGACAAGTTCAATGTTACTGTTAACACACATGGTAGGAATCATAGAATCACTTAGGTTGGAAAAGACCTTTAAGATCGTTGAGTTCAACCATAAACCTAAACCCATGTCCCTAAGCACCACATCTACACAGCTTTTAAATACCTCTAGGGATGGGGACTCAACCATTTCCCTGGGCAGCCCACTCTAGTGCTTGACAACCCTTTCAGTGAAGAAATATTTCCTAATGGCCAATCTAAACTTCCTGTGATGCAACTTGAGGCCATTTCCTCTCATCCTATCACTTGTTACTTGGGAGAAGAGACCGACCCCCACCTCACCCCACCCTCCTTTCAGGCAGCTGCAGAGAGCGGTAAGGTCTCCCCTCAGCCTCCTCTTCTCCAGGCTGAACACCCCCAGCCGCTCCTCACAGGACTTGTGCTCCAGACCCTTCACCATCTTTGTTGCTCTTCTCTGCTCCAGCACCTCAATGTCCTTGTAGTGAGGGGCCCAAAACTGAACCCAGCAGTCGAGGTGTGGTCTCACCAGTGCCCAGTACAGGGTGACTCATAGTTGTACAGGTACGAGTACGTAACTCCCCTGTACAGGTACAGAGTACGGGTGCTGAGTACATCACTCCCGCATACACTGGACTGTGTGCTGTAATCACACAAAGGAGTGCAGCACCTACTCCTGAATTTCCTAAGCCCCAAGTATCCTAAGGAGTGCTACTTTCTATACGGCACTTTAGAAGCCAATCACAACTTGTGTACATGCTAAATAACAGCAGTATGAACACACAGTTTTATAGTTCAGCATTTGCATTAATAGCAGTAGAGCCACAGCAGATGAGTGCAGAAGGCTCACTTAATCTGGGTATAAAAGGAGAGATATCGTAAGTGGGTGTATTTGCAGGTGGTGCTCCCTTGGTAAAGGAGGAGGAGGGAAGACTGTAAGTTGTCTGCTGAACGCACAGTTATCAGAATCAAAATCACTGAGGAAAAAAAAAAGCAAGGAAGCTCACAGAAGTCTTTCTTATGTGAGGAGACAGCAAAGAAACTGAGCTGACTCCCCGGACCATAGGAACGGCAGCGCAGAACAAACCTCGACTGCGGAAGCCCACCGCACGCTGAGGTCCGTTGCTCAGGTCCTGCTCCTCTCGGCGGCCGGGGCAGCATCCCTGGCGT